GTAATATGCTGTCAAGTTCCTCCTCACACGTAAATCCGATTGCTTAACTTATACCGTTTAATTGTTCAACGGGTTCTTCTTTTCCAATATTCTGATCAACGGTGACGAAAGTTTCCTTAATGTAATTGCAATTATTCACCACAACTATCATTCTATCGTATTTCCTAACAAAGTCAACAAATAAGTTGCCTGCGCATGTATAAGATGTAATAAATGCTAATATCAAAACGTACTTAACAATCATTTTTCTCGAAAACAAATATGATAAACGTTGATATAACTGGGTATAAAACAAAAAATATATAAAATTTATTTATCAGTTAAACAATAGGTATTATGTTATTCACTGACAACATTATCTATCATATACAACAATTTTTATATTCAAATGATAATAATTTGGTCAAAGAGTCGGTTATTATCAAAACATACTAAATATTGTTCTGATAAATAAATTCCGATGAAAAGCTGCTGACGGACTTTACGATATTTATATTTCTACCCTTTGAAGTAAAATCCGGACAAATAATTGGATTCTGTTGTCTAGTACAATCAATTACCTGTATCGTCGCCTATAGAGTTAACGTAGACAATTCAACATAATTCGTCGTTCGTGTTTTGATTTAATAACACAATACGTTAGCTAAGAGAGAAAAAAGCTGGCCTTTGAAATATCTGGATAAACAATTTGTTTCACTGATTGTGATTAATACGATGGATATTGTTGTTTCGTTCATAGTACTTTAATTAGTTGATTTCTTTACATACAACATCAAAATCATAGACACCATAACTTATCAGAATTAATCAAACCTATCGATATGATTCTGTATGTAGTGGTCGTGATAATAAAGTAATGAAGAAAATATTAATTCAACATACAAAACCGATGGACAACTATTTTCACAATTTAATGCAGCCATCGATGATTTGATTTTATGTTAGATTTTGTGATCACTTACGATTATTCTAAATCATAAATGATTGAAAGATTTCTCTTAAATATAACTCAGATCGACATGTTCAAGAGAGCTCAGTGATTAGGATCCTTCGCAAGAAAGCATTTTAATGGTTATGATCCATTTTTGGTAACGGAATATAGAGTTCAGGAATTCAGAAAAACCCTAATGTTCCAAGAATTTAAAACAACACAACAACTCTGGTTATATAGTAACAACTATGAACTAGGGACATATATCAAGGATAGAAAGATACAAGTTCAAGTAGCCAAATAGGCTATGGTAAAAGTCATTCGGGTAATTGTTGGGATGGCTTCGAGAAGCACGATGAAGCCTTAGAGGCTCTAAAGAAGCCAAAGACATTCCACCATATCAGAATCTTATAGAGCATTCTAGAATATCAACGTGGTATGCTACGATTGGACTGTAGTATTACATGCCTTCTTGGGGATTAGCTGAATTATAATGACGATATAGCCAACGCTAATAACTATAAACACCCATGTTTTTTCGTACATTTTTAATTATTACCCAATAATCACTTCCCCATGCTTTTTCCGTCTTCTGATTTGCTAACGTTTGAGTGTCATGAGCTTTATATCTTATTCTGCCGTAAACAAGAACAGTATATAACAGTAATCTTAATTAAAGGAAGTTATCGAAGACAACTGCATATGTAAGTTAGTTGTTGGATGTAACTGACTGGAAATCATGAACCCGGACTTCATGCTGTTTGGGACTTGTCAGCGAGTTTTGTCTGTTATTTTGAAGTAACTGATGTTCCTTGTCGGTTTTTATTCTATGTCACTCAGCTCTACGATTAAAGGTTCAGCTACCGGAATACTCGAGCTGCGACTGACCTCCTGTACGAATGAGATAAAATCACCATTATAAGTAAATTTTGGTAATAAGTATCAAATAGCATGAAACCTAGGTCCAAGGTTTCTTGTCGACCACCTTCAATCACCACCTTACATCTCAGAATAGTGAACGCGATGTTGAATCACTTAAACTATATACCACAAAACAACATGATCGATACGATACGATCAGCGTTAAGTAGGACTCAACGTACATGATATTGGTCACTATGTCGTGATCTATCCACTGAAACTACACTGTATTCGGAATGATTATTTTTTAACAAGGAAAAATGCTAAATATCTTGATGACCTTTTAGCATTTTTAACCAATATGATGTTGGCCTAGTGGTCTAGGGGTATGAACCAATATGATAAACAAAATTCTTTGTAATAGTAGTCGAAATTCATGCAAGTATCATTATCGTTATTAATCGTTGATACGATTTACATTCAAATTACTAATCGTAGTTTCGAAGTGAAGTACGAGTCTCAGGGAGGAATTAGGCACAATTTGACGTGTGATGATTAAAAAGATTTTGTCAGTATTGTGTTGTGGAGATTGTTGATTTTATCAAAATCATGATAAGATTCAAATAACAACACCACTGAAAACTTGTAAACACTGGACGGATGTTTCGTTTTAGTATTAGGCTCCTGAGCATTGCGAATCCACGACCCCACACGCAGATATCGAACCAGGGACCCTCGGTCTCGTGCGAAATCATGACCAGTGGGACTAACTTATGTCGGTTGCGGGTAAATACCCATCAGGACATTGGAAGATGGTCGAGCAATGTCGTGTATCAAAATTATTTTTATTTATGGAAGGTTATAAAAATAGGACTGTAAACTTTATCAAAATATTCTGAAAATGGGTGTAGAAATAAATTATTTTCCCGCATTATTGGAAGCGTATTATAAATACTGATCAATCAAAACCTTTATTTACTATTGCTTCAACCTGTTTTATTGATTATTTGATGAACTTTAGTTATAGAATTCACTTTTTTCAAAATAAATCTTGTCAAGGTTTTCCAGATGTATATCTATGAACTGTATAAATGTGTCCTAATTAATGGTTAGTACGTACGTTCCAAATCACCTGACTTGAATATAAAGAAATGAAGTCTGTAGTTCTGATAACAGCTTATATTCTACTGAAACTGACTTCGAAGAGATGGAAGTGGACAAGTTGTTATTTCCAGATCCTTAGGATCAGTAATCAGTAAACAAACTAGTCAAATGGTTTTCACTTCATCGAAGCTCTCCTCATCAAATAATTTAAATCAATTTTGTTTGTTCTAAAGAATGGCACTGACAGTCTTACGTTAGCCTAGTTACCTCAGCTTGTTAGTAACTCATAAAGTAACCTATTACTCCATGTCATGAATTATAATTACTAGTTTTATTAATAAACCTTATTAATTCTTACTTGAGGACAACAAATGAGGCGAAATAATATGAATTTTGTTTGTTTAGCTGATTACAACTCTTCTCTGTATTGAGTTGTGGCATAATGTATGAAATAATAGACATAGATGATAAGAAAGATTTGGTATGGCAATGATTATCAATATAAAAATGTTTAAGGTCATTTAAAGATGGGAAGCGAAAACAGAGAGATTGAAACTTTAATTACATGGTGTTAACAAAAACTTATAAGATTTATCGTTTGGTAATTATAGATTTTATGAATTAAAATTAAGAGGGAAAATGACAACACGGATAATTTTAAAACAGATGAAGCAACAATTGGCTTAGCGAAGATTGTATAACATACAATCACAGTGGCAATCACAATAGTTATGGTGATGTACATTTACCCTTGAGATGATTTAGTCTTTTATGCTGTTAGCATTATATAACTTATATTATAGACTTACAAACCCTAAAAATTTGTAATGAAATATCAGATTATTTTTAAGTTAATTACTTTAGTGACAACGTCCCTAATCGCAGTACTTAGTGATATTAACTTAAGTTTCTATAGTTTCATGGATTCCCATAAGATTGTTTCATAAAAATATGTACTGCCTTAATTAAATTTTCTTTTCAAGATTCACATTATATTTATGCATATATGCATATAATTTTACAAATATAGTCATCTAGTTTACTCTACTTCCTTACAAGTAATCTAATAATAAAGTTAATGGTAGACTTGTAATAACTCACTTAGTACAAACTAAACTTCTGACCCTTCACAACTTCATCTAGGCCGATTAATAAATATATTTTTGTTATATCCTAATGAGTAGAAAATTGTATTTCAGAGTAAATAAATAACCGAATTAAATTAACACCAGTTTAAATAATACAAAAGAAATAATGAAGAATATTTTTGGTCCAATCAAAATCATATTAGGCCTGAATATGGCAATGTCTAGTTATTCTTCGTCAAGGTGAATTAGTACAGTGAAAGGTCATACAAATTCACCTTGATGAAGAATAACTAGACATTGCCATATTCAGGCCTAATATGATTTTGATTGGACTAAAAATATTCATTGTTTCTTTTGTACTATTTAAACTTGTGTTAATTTAATTCGGCTATTAATTTACTCTGAAGAAGTGGCTTGTATTAAGTCACGAAACGTCAGAAATAAAATTTTTTACTCATTAGGATGTAACAAAAATATATTTATTATTAAATTTCTACCCAATGCTCAATTTATTCAAAAATTATTAAGTAAAACCTTGGTAATGATACCTAAAAAGTAACTCAATGTTTTCTTTTTAGTTACATGAGTGCTACTACCGGTAATTACGGTCTAATCTTACGTGTTCATCCTACCAATATGCACAAATCAAACAACTTTTCTGTTTTAAACATTTATTCATCAAATTTTTTTTAAAGAATAGTAATAATCAGTTTAACATGTAAATTTATTTCGTGTTACTAAAAATGTTTGTATTTTGCCAAACCAAAAATTATTTGAATGAATTCATAATTTGGTATTTGTTGACTCCAATGGAGTTGTATACATTTCACAACATTATTTGCTGATGTTTCATGTTCTAATAACAGTTTTATTGATGCCTTTTTTAATAAAAGTAACTGACAAATCGACTGGTAATACACATCATATATATATATATATATATATATATATATATATATATATATATATATATATATATATATATATATATATATATATATATATATATGACATCATATAATTGTATGACAAATATTTATTTAGCAAGTATCAAATACGTACTTTATTTACAAACCGAAAAAAGGATTTATTTTCATCAAAATAATTAAAAACCCTATCCCATCGCTAAGCAATCCAGTGAACATTCTAGATTATCTTGTTGAACATTGTACAGACATACCTGACGAAAAGCAAACAAAATGGTATCTGCAGCAAAAATCATTTATCTTGTTGCATTAGTCACAGCTGTTGTATGTGCTGTCATAGCATTAGCAATAAGTCCATTTATGAAAGGTGAGTGAATTAAACAAATTTTCGAATGAAAATAAGTTGCACAGTTTAAATGTATTTGTGTTAAAATGCTAAATTATCTTTTTTAAACTTTTTATTAAATAAGTAAATAAATTTCTTATTTTACTAATAAAATTAAATGAAATGAATAGTTTCGTATAATTGAATATTTATTTGATAAATAGTATATGTATAATAGATTAACTCTTAAAAGAAACCAATAAATACGAAGCTATTCCTTATGTAAACAACAAATCAACAATATGTTCGGTATTCAACATTCAACCTAAATCTGATATATGAGCTTCTGTATAAAGTTTAAGCTTGTGTTTGTAAATGAACTTTCAGCAGATTAACGAATTATTACGTTCTTTAGTGTCAATCTGTTATATATATTCAACTGAGTAATGAATCAGTACTGAATACCATATTCTTAATATTATACACCTCTACATATTTATAATCTGTTATACATAATCCCCCATTTTATACAATACATATTATGATACAGTTTTGCATTACAAGATAAAAACAAGGAATTTAATCACTTACATTATTTAGCATAAAATTAATCTCGTCAGTAACATTAAATTAAAGTTTGACAATTCAAAAACATCTCTTTGTTCTTCAAGGACGTTGATTAAAACGAAATCTGATACTAACTATTGCGATTCATCAGCTAACTAAAAATAAATGATTCTTAAACACTAACAACGGAGTTTCAAATGTTCAGTTATCTATTTAATTTCTGAAGAGACCATTTTTACTTATTGTCGTGAAAATAAATAGGATGATTCTTTTCTATTGTAAGGATGAAGTTAAACTGATTTATAATAGAGGTTTAAATCAACATTCTTCAAGCTACTATTCAACGTTTATTATTCAAATGAACACAACTGGATTACAGTTGGTTGATGAAACGACTAATTTTGTTACTATTTGAAGTAATAAAAAGGTATTTTTAGCTGGATTCACATTTCTATTTTATTATTCGCTTAGTTATTTTCTTACATTCAATACATTCAAACATTTCGCTGTATGGTATCAAATGACAAATAAACTAGGTTCTCATTATCTTCCGATTATCAAAGAAATTCTAGTTTACAACAATATGACGAAAAGAAGTTTTGAATTTAACAAATCTCTTTCAACAACTTAATCAAGGAATAATCGTTCTGTTCACTAAAAACTGTATTTGATATGAATTAGCAGTACGCTGTAACAGGGTTGACTTTAACCATATCACGATTAAAATAACCAACACTATTACAGTTTGTCACGAATTGACAGGAGCTTAACAAATGAACTACTGGATTTAAACCCCAACAATCTTATAAACTTTTACCTTTATTTAGCGTGCGTTTGTTGATACACGTTGATACATAGTATCAAACTAGTACAACACAATTGTATAGTGATGTCTAAAGTTCAATAATTTCACCGAATGAAAGATACTTTAAATTAAGAATTCCTTTAAAGCGCTTATTAAATCTATCTATCTATTTAGCTATTTCATAAAGAGTATTGGACATTCGATTTGAGGTAAAGCATACTGAGAATTTCGCAAATCAAGAATGATTCATCAGATTTATATAGAAAAGTGTTACTGTTAAAATTATGGTGAACTAAACAAGGGGAACAAACACAATATCATCAGGCTAAAACATATGATTGTTGATGCGTGATTTAGCTACATGGTGACACAATTGAAAATCAAGAAACAAGAAGCATAAGTTAGATCTAAACTGATGTTTGCTGATATTTCATTAACAATCCAATCCACATACCATCATGCAACAACTGTAAGATTTCGTTTTTTATACTATTCAATATCAATAAGAGTTTCAAAAACCAAAAGTAACAGACCTATTCAATATAGAGTGTTAACAATAGGTAATTTATTATTGATCGACTAAAGAGTAGTGATTGACATCATTTTTATCTAGTTTCTTAGCGCTGACCGAACTCTATCAATTATAACACAATGAGATCATTAATTTAGCATCAATTATTTCAAAATCTTAGATACACCTTACGGATAAGTTTTTGATTGAGATCGTGAACCGATAATAATCTCCACAACCCCTTTACTGATAAGTGTCGACTACCTTGAAAACAATCAGCTGCGAAAAGAAGACCTAATTATTATGCTTAAATTTGGAATGTCATTTAGAAGTAGACAAAATTTCAATTATTATTTCGAAATAAGCACTGACACTTATGTCGTAAATTAATAACTGAACATTTTTATGCATTGTTTCTACGATTGTATGATGAACTTTTGTCAAAATATAACTTAACATCGAAACAATACATTTGTAATGACTAGTTTTTTTCTTTTCGCTTTTCAAATCAATTCATTCCCTATGTTTTTTTCAAAAACAAAATTTGTTTAGGTAATGCTTTGGTGACTAATTCACAGAAAGTCAATTTATCATTTATAATCATTGGTACTGTCTTTTTAATTGTAGCGGCAATACTTGTAATTATTACATTTATCAAATATGACACTATGGTGTTTATGATTATTATAATTGTAATATTGGGATTAGCAAGTGAGTCTTTTCGTTTTTTGCAAGAAAAAATTATTTCACCAGGTAAACGGACAACATTTTTAAAATATAAACTAAACGACTTTGTAATCTGAGGATCTAGTAATTCCACTTATAGGAATAATAAATATATTTATCGTATTCCTATAAACTAACTGTAGGAAATGCAAACAATTTAATCATATTAAATCAAATGGATGCGACAGTGAGTACCGACCTAGTGGTCTAAAATTTGGTTTTTTGCCACGAGATTTAAGGTTCTAGGTTTGATCCCATAGTGGCATGGTCTTGGACGCGTGCTACTGATTGGTTTTATACTAACATAAAACCAACGTCCACCCTCGATTTTCATTAAATGTCTAAATTAGATCAGTATGCGATAAGAATAACATTAAATAATCTTTACAAAACGCGATATCAGTAATAAAATATCTGTCGAAAAATAGTTGTACGGAGGGTAAGCGTTATGAATTTAAAAGAATTCATAATGAGTGTCTGAGTCCCCTTAGTTTACCACAAGAGATATGTAATCAGTGGTAATACAGTGAATAATTATTCAGTTGATTATTTCGAAGTGATCTAAATTACTTTCTACAATATGGACAGTAATCTCAAGAAACAGACTAAATTAAAAATCTATGTTATATTAGTGGACAATTTAAAAGTGATACTAAACTCATTTATGGTTACATTATATTTCGACTACTTTGGTTTATATATGTTTTAATCATAAAAGCATTTTTGATCTATTATCAACATTTTTCATGGATTTTTATCTAGGAAATATGCAAGTTGGAAATAATAATCATAACTGTACTTCATTTTACTACATTGTCTCTTTAAAATAAAAAAATGGAACAGTAAACGCTGTTGTAAATATTATCCAAAATATGTTTTGTAGAACATTTCACATTTTATTATAAACTGTCGCTAATGAGAGGACCAATAAAAAAATGGTAGGCAATCAATTCAGCAGGTCTGTACTGCTGATCTGTTCATGATGAAACGAAACCCAACACTTAATCATTAAAAATTAATATTCATGTATCAAAAAATTAAATCATTTCATTGTCATGGAAATACTTTAAACAACCATGAAGCACGATGAAAAACTATAAAAGTCAAAGCATTTTGAGTTACTCATTGTTTAACCGCCTTAATTTATTTTTTGGCATTCTCCTTAACATTCTGTGATAACAGTCATCACGGACCCACTGAAAGCTAACTTTGAAAGGTAATCCCAGGTGTTCTAATTAGAAGTCATGATCACGTAGTCCAACAACGTTGTGATAAGGAAAAGATATCTTCAATAACAATCGATTGTGGTCGTACAATATTGTGAATTTTCTGAAGTTAGGACTGTAATCCACTGTGTGTCAATTTATGTTTACATGTTAAACCCTTGTCACGAGAACGGAATATCATAGCATCCTGGTTCACAGGTCTATAGGTTAAGTGCTGATGCGCTAGACCTCGATCTCCTTGGATCGATCTGTACTTAGTTCATGGGACAGCGTAAAAGTTTAGTGTTTCTCGGCTTTCGATAGTTTAACTAAAATTAGTCAATGATATAAGGTAAAAAAAGCTCAACAACTTCTTTAAACTTCCCTATATTGATGATATAATGTTAAACTTCTATTTAATTTGTTATCTTTGTTTTCAGTTTTATGCTTCATCATTGCACTTGTTGTGATTGATATGAATCCAGGATATTTAGGTTGGTTATTAGCAGCTTTATGGGTAACATTCTTATGCCTTCTAATCGCTATAATAATATGGATAACAAATAGCGATTAAAACAATATTTATTGACATATATATGCATCTATGTATGTAAACATTTCTTAAATTTTAATAAATACATGAAAACATTTATTATTCTACCACTTTATATTCTTCTACAATGAATCATATTTTTACCTCAGAGAATATATTTATTTAACTTACAGAATATACTTTTAGATAAATACTTTCACTATTTTAAATTATATTTGTTTTAATTAAACAGATGATTTATCAGAGTTAGGGACATTTTAAAATCTGTACATATCGCAGGTTGACCTCCTGACTCCCATAGTTATATGGATCTCGAACTTTTAATAAGTAAAAACCCTGTTCGTAATAAAAAGCCTATTTTTAGGTTCAGATATGATAAACAACTTATATGGTCACTGATCTATTTACCAGTATCATTTGAGTTCGAAATCAACAGTGACTTTAGTTTGATTGATCATACTGATAAAGAGAGAAAGTATTCCGACTTCTGGAACTCAAGGGAATTCATCAGATTGAATAACTTGTTATATGTATTTCAGACATGTTTGTGTCAGGTGACGGAAACCTGTTTCACGCAATAACACCGAACATTGATCCTTGACTGAATCAAGTTGGAAAATGCAATTCGCTGGGACATTTCACTTTACGAACATAATAGTTTTTAAGCTGATTCTAGTGTCTACCCATAAGTACAAATTGTTAAAGAGTTTCAGAGTAGATCGATTCTACGTAGATTTTAAGAGGTTTCCGGCTAATATCAGTTCATGACAAAAACATCGTCTTTGAAGTATGCATATATTTATAAGACATCAATATAAATACGATTGTGCACCGAGTTATACTATCCTCAATTACACCAAACTTAATTTCTTGTTAATTAGACATTGGCAAAAATAAAATTCAGTAAATGGTTTGAGCAATACAGAGTAACCCACATTGATCGAACTAAATCAGTTGATTGAATGACTTTTTGTTAACATTAATTAAATAATCATACGATGTGGAATGCTAATACAATTAGGATATAGACTATTTTTAATAAATGGGATGTAGTTTAAAAATCCCCATAGAATATTCAAAAATCAAGAATACTTAAGCGAACAATTGTTTTCAATAACTTCATCACCATGCTCTACAGTTATAAGTCCATAATTATGATATTTTACAAAGGCCAAAATAAGGGATGTATCAATTAATTTAACATTGTCAAATTCATTAATGCATGCCTTATTTTGGTCTTTGTAAAATATCATAATTACGGACTCATAAATGGGATGTACCTTACATTAATTCATGGAGATAAGGATTTAAAAAAGATGATTACTTTTCATCATATACACTGAAGCGGTTTAGGTAAGTAGGTCAAATCTGTACTGTGTCCATGTATGATCATAAAAAATAAAATCAATATTTTCGAGGCCATTAACATACACAGGAGAAAGTTTACGGTAATAAAGTCGATTATATAAACATAAAAAGTAAAATTAATGAAGAATTATAAACCATAAAAAATGAAGAAAAATAAGTAGTTTTATCTTTTTTCAAATAAGACGCTCACATAACCACTGTGAAATGCATCAGAGTGATAATGCCTTAAATTGACTGTTTGTTAAACGAATTTTATACGAATAATTCAATGTAATTAACATCAATCAAACTTCAAATATTTCTAATTACTTTAGACAATATATTGCATCCTTGACTATATTCAGTGAATTTCACTGTTTCACTGTGTAACACAAGTAGTTTATATGAAACCTTAAACTATGTTCTTATGATCTGTAAAATATTAGACTTTGAATTGTTAAGAATTTCATTTAAAATTAGAATGTTTATATTGATTAAAATAAAGCAATCTCCTACTTATGTAGGTCATTTAACTCATTATTCAAATAAAGTGTTATCAAGTTTATTTTAATTCATCAATATGAAATTTATTACTTTCCATTTGGAAAAGTCAGTTATGACTTCATCCATACTTCTTAATTATAAAGTTGTGCGTTTGTTCAGAAGGAATAGGTTTATAATTCAATTAGTTAGTTCAATATGTCAGTCAGAGAGTTTCAGTTTTATAAAACTTGTAAATGCTATTCATGTGATGACTTATTGGCGCGTCAGCTACGAGTACTGTCTAGTTGAATTTATTCAAAACTCAACCATTAAACAATGTCTATTAAAAATTATTAATTTTAACGTATTGAGTTGTGGTTCACAATATTTTTTCCAGCATGGAAATAAACTGTTCTATTTTTCTCTATCTCTCGTCGTAATCCAGAACTGGATGTAGGTGTTGTGAGTAGCTTAAGCAGAAACCCGATGGCATATGAAATCGTATTTAAAGTAACACTATTAAGTATTAAAACTCCAGTTTCCTTTAGGCTCATTAACACGTAATGCTAGCTCAGTTTAACGAGGATTCTGTAAACTGGTAAAATAAATTTATTGACAATGCGAAAAACCTGACATTTCAAACATTATAATAACTAAAACGTACTCCACTATAGTGAAGCAATTTTAAACATGATGTTATTATTTTAAAAATAAGAATTAGTTAAGAAAAATTTCATATTGTGGTATAATTTATAGCTAAATACAAATTTTGAAATTATGTTAAATATAAGTTGAATCGGCATCATAAGTACTGGCTTACATGTATCAAATCAACTAGTGTAATTAAGTCATAGGTTTGTATGATTCATTGTAATGTTGCTCAAAACACAAATCAAAATAAGATTATTTACTATAAAAAAATTAAATATTTATAGTAAATTAGGAATAAAATGTCATTAAATTAATGGCGAAGTAATCACATGCACTGCATCACAGCAAAGGTAACCAGTAACGTTTTTATTGGTCAATGAATGTATAGTGGTCACTGTTTTTATCTATTTTTCCGTGTTGCGAATCAAAGAGTAATTTTCACTAAAGGTTCTATTTCAAATGTTTGGATTTATCGACAATTGTCTCTTATGAACATTACCAATATAGTTGAGTCCAAAATCCTGGAAGAAAGTTAGGGTTTGAAATGTAATATTTGGTGGGAATTACACTCCCATATGAAGAATGTTTTCAGTGGACCAACGTAAACAGCCAAAATCACTAAACACAACAGACTTCCTGAACGGCGAAAGCGTTATGAGTAACCTCAACCGTACATCATATATTGAACAGGTTTTATTAACTACTTATTCCTTCACATAAATGAGTAAATTAAGAACTAGTTCATTTTGGAAGTAATCAGAGTAACTGTTAAATCTTTACTGGATATTTACGTAAAACTATGAAAGGTGAACACTGACAGAACTTTGATAAACCTCATTTTATGAACTCATATAAGGAAAACGTTTTGGCATCAATCAAATTTTTCTTAAAAATTTATTTCATTAATAACGTTAAAAAGTATTTTAAATCCATTAGTCAATTAATAGGAGATGTAGAGCATGAATGATTAAAAAATATGTTATTTATTTCCTGATATTCGAGCGAAGTCATATTTCTTAACCGTATGACTGGAACAATGATATGACTAAATAATATATGAGCCAACTTTCTCGTGTAGACAAAAAATAAAAATATAAATGGAGTGAAGAAATATTTCCTTCAATTAATTTTTGTATCGTGGCTGTACACTGATATACTTGTTTGCATACAATAAACAATAATAATAAAGTCAACATGTATCAGTGTTCCGATTGATTTATAAGTTAATACTATTAAAGATTGATTACGTCTTTTAACTAATTTGTTAATTTATAATAACGATTTTCATAAAAACTTTTAGTCATAATATTAGTAAATTCACTTGGTATTGTTTACTTGAATCTTCCTATTGATGTTTAGGACTGCAATTGATCAATCTCTTATCGGCATATGTGCATATTGTGCTCATCGCCTCGATATCGCCTTAATTCACAAGCATTATAAGCAAAGATGGACAGTGGCTAGCAGTAAAATTCAGGACAAAGCGCGTTTCGTTCTATTTGGGACTCGTCAGCTGGATGTACCTGCATCTCAGAGTTGATGTTTACTCTTGGATTTGAACCCAGTACCGTTCACTTCAAATGCCATCGAGTTATTTACTTAGCTATTATTTAACACATTTTCAAGTGATTGGCATCAATTAATCACTACCATTATTATTAAGGTTGTTAAACACATATATATTAGTGTAAAGTCATAATGAAAGATCAATCAAAAATAAATATTTTTTTACTCTATCCATACTTTCCTCAAATATACATGACTTTTAGATTTGTGTAGACTTAATGTGTACTTGGATTAAATAATATGGCCAAGAAGACATTGGTAAATTCTCAGTGATCAGTTAGTATACTAATCTTTTTCCATATTAAAGGCCAGTGGCAGTTCAAATTGATCGGTAAAAGCACCTCTAATTGTAACACTTTTTAAACACACCTCAAATCCCATATTAAACTCTGGTTTACTAGATATTGTAGTTGAAGTTTATCAGCAAACCTCAAATCACATTAAACTTACATTTTTATATTTCCTCCAGATTTCTACAAACGACATGATATCGATCACAATATTTATTCTTACTCATATTAGTTTAAAAATACATTTATGATACTTCAATCAGTCACTAATTTAGTAATAATCAAAGTAGGACATAGTAAACATATGCTTTGGCCCAAGCTGACACACAATAATAGTACGATTAGACAATATTAACAAGACGATCAGTGAAGGAGTCGATATGATGTAGTTTCCGTGATAGGAAGAGAGATTTATCACTAAGAACATGGTTCGAAAAGATAGAATCAGAAGGTGAACATTAAGGAATACTAAGACTTAGAGTCAGTAGGAAGTTAGAGGCAAATGTGTCTGCGCCATTTTGACCGATTCTGACCTATTTTACGCTAGGTCCTTATTCACCAGTCGACACTATGACATCGATCCCAATCAAGCGGTCTATATGTAATAGTATGGCTCCAACCATCTGTTCATAATTTGATGGACTTATGCCACGTTTTGGTCTGGCTGCCTCCAGATTTATTCCAGGGATGTCATGAAAATGAAAACGTCTGATCTTTAATTGACGTAGACAATTCCGAGTAGTTTTTAATGTGACACATATATGAAAAGATTCTTGCAATGATATTCTGCCCACTGCTTTTTGAGAAATCACCCACTAGCAAATAAGTATTGGTAGGATATGTAGTAAAATTTAAAAAAG